TGGGGCTCGCTGCTCTCACTCACCACTGACCGACTGACCGACCCCTGGGTCAGCCCAGGAGCCCCCAGGAGCAGTTATAAATAGGAAACTGTAAACACAACCATTGGAGATAAGAGACATCTACGATCACAGGGTTTACTAGTTCAAACGTCCCGCCCGCCCCCCACCCATCCACCTGTGCCCCTGTCCCCACTCCATAAAAAGGTCTCCGGTAACAAAATCTTCGTTCCAAGCTTGAAGGAAAGGTGAGGTGCTCGAGGAGTAAAAAGGGACATTGCAACCTTAGCGGTCTTTGCTCGGGAGGGGAGAAGGTGGAGGGAGGGCGAGACAGGGTTAGCTGGTTCAGGTCCTTTGCAAGTTCATTTGGTTTGTCTGGAGGACTCCTAGGGTTATACCTGAGATGAAGACGTCTAGGGGACACTCCACAGCTCAATTAAAACATGGTCGGTGTTTTGTGCCTAGAAGAGCCCTCGCTGCTGGGATTCATCCGTCACGCTCGCCCCACGCAGCAAGACAGCAGCATCCTTCCTCCGCTGGGCAGGGGGCTGTCTGAACCAACGCTCGGCTGGGGGTGACCCCTCATGTGTCGAGGATCTCGCTGGTGGGCGACGGCTCGTGGGGGATGCCCTGTGCGCTGTGGATGGTCTGGTTGTGGGAGAGGGAGTTCTGCTGGAGCTCCAGGGCAATGGCGTTCTGGGGGAACTCCTTCACCTGCCGCTTGTACTCCAGGAAGGAAGGTGCACGCCTTCGTGGCGATGGCGATGATGTTCTTGCCAATAAAGATGGTGGAGACCCTGCTGTCCTGGAACAAGATCATGTTGATGGCCCGGATGAAGATGGTGACGATGTTAATGGTGACCAGGCTGAGGACGGGGTAGAGCATCATTTTTTGTGGGGCAATGTGCTCCCCTTGCATGCTGATTTCACTGAGGGACACGCAAGGCAGGATCAGAAGGAGTATGTAGCAGTAGAAGAACATGAGCCCCTCTGCCCAGATGGGCAGGCCGGTCCTGTGTGGCTCCCACAGGTTGGCCTGGATGTCCAAGATATCAAGCAGATCGAGGGCCACCCAGAAAAGGCGCCCCCGCAGGTCCTCTTTCTTCCGAAAGGTCCGTATGTACTCCATGCTGTCCAAGGCCACCAGCACCAGGTAGAGCCCTGGCACGCAGATGGAGAGCAGCAGGGTCAGGGCTTTCCTGGCCACCGTCTCCAGGTTCTTCTTGTCCGCTTTGTAATTCTGAAAGATGAAGTACAGTTTGATCTCCAGCACAAAGATGTAGAGGAACCACAGGATCATGGCGTAGCCCCTCTTGGCCGTCTTCACCTCCGCGCCCACCCACACCGCCACGTAGCGCAGCACGATGAGGAAGCAGATGTCCCCCACCAGCACGATGATGCAGACGCCGATCTTGCGAGGCCCCTGGTTTTGCTCCACCAGGTAGGCATCCATGAAGGCCATGCTGGTCATGATGACGATGGTGGTCAGACAGACGTGGCGCTTGTCGGGTGGTGGCAGCACCATGGTGAGAGGAGCAGTCCTCCCTCTGCACTGGCACTAGGGGAGCAGACCCAGGGGGGCACGGGGGGACATCCGCGGTGAGCCTGGAGACCAAGGGCTGCTCCGTTCCCCAGGAGGAGGTCCCCGGAGGACCAGTGGCTCAAGCTGGCAGCCCCAGGGCTCTGCAGACTCTGTCACCAGCTCTTCGTCCGCTGCTGGCTGTATCCTGCAAACCCCAAAGCTCTGCCCCCAGCCCCAGGCTGGCCCACCAGCCCAGCACCAGGCACCCTCCACCACCAGAGGCCAGGGCTCAAGGGCTTGCAGGACCTCCTGGAGGGATGTCCCTCCTCCGTAGCGGGTCCTCCATCATCAGGCTTTCCAGTGATCCCACAGCACTAACACACCTTCAGGCTCTGAGCCCCAAATCCTGGTATAGATCCCTGGAAATGCAGTGAGTGACCAAGCAGTGGGCAGCTCCGGCTGGTGGCTCTTCCCAGTGAGACCTCAGGCTTCTTTGGGGTTTTGGGGTGTCCCGCTGTGTCCTCACAGGGAATCACCTTCACAGCTATCCCTGCGGGGCTGTGCCGTGCTCCTGCTTCTCCCAGCTGAACATACATCCCACCATCCCTGGAAAAGATGGCAGAGAATGGATGTTAGGGACCACCTGTGTGCCAGCCATGGGACTGCAAGGATGGCAGCCCCCTCAGTACACTGTGGCTTGAGCCAGGGTCCCACCAGGTACATCCCACGACCAGGGCGCCCACCACCGTGCTGTATGTATGGTGCCTTACCGCATAACAGATTTTTCTTGAGGATGAACACAGCCTCAGGTGCCCTGGATGGAAACATCGTGTGCTGCCCTTACAAGGGCACTCTCCATCCAAGCTCAAGCCTTGGGTGTGAAGAGGTGCTCGGCACGGCAGATCCCTGCCCATGGCTGCAGCAGGGAAGGGGGGAAAGTAGCTCGTCCCTCCTTGAGTATGAACAAGGTTAAGATTGGCACGCAGGGCTTGGGCTGTCCCCGGCACAGCAGGGGAACGGGTAGCAAAGCTGTCCCTGAGGCACCATGAGGTGCCAGCACCTTTCTGGATTGGCTCAGCTGCTCATGGCCGCAGATCCTTCTCACCAGGCTGCGCACGCATAATTCAGTCATTAATCTTTTCCTGGGACTGCGCTCCTGGGAAGTGAACAGGTCCCAGCGCACTCAAGAATACTATCCAACAGCTTACACAGAATGGATAACGAGCACAGTCAGATATGCCCATCACGCACCCCGCGACAGCGACCCTCAGGTACGTAGCAACTCCCTAGGAGGAAAGTGCTTGACCCCACAGGTGCCCCTACAGATCACCCCATCTCATCCTGTGGAGCCTGGCTGCATCTGCCCCACAGATCTTTGTCTCTCATGCAATCCACACTTCACCTGCCCTCACCACCGGTCACTGGCAATGACAGCCCTGGAGATAACACCCTGGGGTGACCCCACCAGGCTGCTGGGTCTGCGAGCCCTCCTCACCCAGCCCGCCGGGCTCAGACTGAGCCTAGACCTGGATTTGGAGAATTGAGCCCCACACATGCACGCAGCTTGGCTGCCCAGCCCTTGGGGCAGGGGGGCATCCCCTGCTCGCACGAGGGGGACCCAGGGAGAGCCCTGGGAGCTGTCAGAGGGACTCGGTGGCCCCATTTCTGCTCCTCACCGGCCAGCTTCACGAGGACACACGCAAACTTGGGTTTTCTCATCTTTTAATGAGAGGGGCAGAATCCTAAGTGGAGGCTGCGGGGAAGAAGCCAAGCCTAAGGAATTGTAAGCCATTAAAAACCTGCTCTACTTCACTGTATTGCAGCTGCTTGTGTTTATGGGGTCTCATTTAAATGAAAGCTGGATTCTCTCCTGCTTCAGGGAGAGAAAGAGAACAAAGAAGAACAAGTGGGAAGCCAGATGAGTCAGAACCAGCCCCGACGCGTGCCTGAGTAGGTGGACACCAGGGATACGTGTACCTGTGCCCTGGCACCCGAAGGACGTGGCAGGTGAAGACGCGGCACTCAGCAAGTGTAAGCAAGGGATGTAAAAATTGCTGCCCCATCCAGGAACCCCCGGCGCTCTTCTGAGTCTACAGCAAGACTTGGGCACAGCAGGGAGCACTGGTGTGTTAAAATAATTTGTCAAGCAGGAATTTCTCTGAAAGAGACCAAAAAGATGGTTCTTCCCAGGCAAGGCACTCACTGCAGCCTTGCTCTCACCAGCGTGGCTCTCTGCAACGTCTTGTAGCTGCTGCTTAGGGCTTCAGTTTGTTCTTTCCTGAGGTTTTGGATAAAAATATACAGTCATTGCTGTAAATGCTTTTAAACTCTTGCCAAGTTTTACAGGGGATTTATAGCCATGGAGGGATAATTCCAGACAAATTAGGTCTTTCAGGAGGGAATGGTGGATTTTTTCTTTCCCCCCTTAAGTACATATGTCCTCAAAAGACAGCAGTTATTTAAAGGGCGGTGGGTGCATCACAGCACGTTAAGGTTAGGAAGTAGCTTGCTTGTAAATCATACCCCTCTGCCTCACATGGGTGGTCAGGGAAGCTGAGGGAAGGCACACGCTCCCAGCCCAAGCTATCCTCGTGCCTACACGCAAGCACACAGAAAAACCCTGCCCTGCACCACACTGAACACCCAGGGCACTGGACGATAGTAATTCACGGTGTTTACAGCAGTAGCAAACACGTCTTTCACCACTCGTGCTGAGCAGATTGCTTCCAGCTAAAACGTGTGCTCAGACAGTGGATTCCTCCCTCTCATCCGCTCACGGACAATTCGCAGCAGCTCGGGATGAGTTTGATAAACACGTTCATGTGTCAGAGCGACCTTTTGGAGTAGAGGAAGGGGATCGTGGGGCAGAGCTGAATCACAGGCCTCGAGTGCTGCTTTCTCTTGGGTTAAATCCTGTATTACCCAGGGCAAGCACCTCTCTTGCCTTTTGTCAATAGTTTCCAAGCATTTTCTGCTGTACAAGCTCTTCTTGTTTTCCAGCTGTGCAATAGCTGGTATTTCCCCCAACTCCTGCAGCGCTGGTGCTATACAGAAATACGGAGGTCTCTGCCTATCTGCGGTGCAGAGCTTGCCCATTTGAGTAATATGTGATCATCCTATCAGGGAGGGGGCACATGAAAATCCCCTCAGAGGACTATTAAAAAAAAGCATGTAGTTTTTAAACAACTGCTGGGGGAACTCTCGATTCAAAATTTTTAAATGACCGTGGTTGACAGTACATCCAGAAACCACCTGAGAAACATGCTGGACAAACAAGAAAATGAGCATGTCAGAGAGCCACAAGAGCATATCTGAGGCAAACACTTGTTTAGACAAGTATTCACAATTCTCTTCTATCTGCGGGAATTCCTATAAATAAAAGGCAGTTCACCTGAATATAAAGAACTCGGAGTGTTACGGATACCAGTGAGCCAGGCTGGCAGCTTCCTACGGGCAGGGACCTAGCAGTCTTTGCATCCTGCTCAGTGCCAGGACTCCCACAAGCAGATACTGCAGCAATGCTTCACTCTTGGCAACCATGGGCCTCCTTATCAGGACAAAATTCAATCCATAATCACATATTCTCCTCTACCACTCTCCTACACAAACAGCTCCGCTGCTTTTACCGGAGTAAGCAAACACGCTCGTTTACACCCACAGCAGCTCGTGATCAGCTGGCGAGATGCAGCCCAAGGGCAGTGTCCAGCCGCACCAGTGAAGACTGGAAGCATGGGGACAAGGCAGTAGCAGCCTGTCCCCTCTCCATCTCCAGGGCCTGCTTGGGGGACACCACACTTCCCAGCCCAGCCTGCCCCTTCCCAGCATCACTGCAGGGCATGAGAGGCTGTGGTGGGATGGGTTGGGGGGGTGAATTCCTGGAGAGACTGAGGCAAAACCAGCAGCAGAGGTGCAGTCACCTCCTGTCTGCTACTCTGGTGCTTCTGTTCTGGCCGGGGAGTTATTTCTTGGTCTTGCACCTCTTATTCCCAGCCCTCTCAGCTGCTGTAAAGCACCTGCGGTTACCCAAGGACGTGTGGTCACAGCCTCGCTTCACCATCAGCCCAGGCAGTTTGGAAGAAAATTAAACTGTTTTCTACCATTCATTGCAGTGTGATTAATTACCACCAGCTCTGCCGTTACCGAAACCTGCAGCCGCCCACCATCAGTGTCTTCCTGCTTCTTCTCCCACCTTCCCTCACTGCCCATGCCTGGCATCACCTGGCACGCACCCGAGAGCCGTTGGGGTGCAGGGAGCCACCAGCATCCCCACACGAACCCCATCTCCCAGGTCTGAGGAGCAAGTGACCCCAGACAAGGCTGGAGGGCTTATGGAGCCACCATCAAAACACAGCTTCATTAACGTCAACGGGCGCTTCCCAAACCCCGGCTCAACCCGGAAAATCAGTTTAAATTATTGAAGTGATTTGAATTATGTCTATAAATAAAAGAGGGAGGGAGTGAGGCAAAAGCACACACAACACGCTTCCCAGGTAGTTAGGATGCCGCATTGCTTAAAGCTTCATTTGCACATTAGTTGCTTTGATTTATTCCAGCTTTCCTGAGCATAAATCTAAAGCTCCCCTTCGCTTAGTCCTTCAGCCCTCTGAAGAGCTGCTGCTCACACAAAGCCCTTTCCCTGGCTGGCACGCCATGCCCTGTGTCACCTGTGCCGTTGCATTTTCCTGCCTCACCTGGATGAACTTTGATGCTGGTGGGTGACCCGGTCAGTCTCGCTGACCTGTGGGTGGGAGTTTCACCTGCTTTTTCCCCAGGGTAGTCCCTGGGGACTGAGGGAGGGAGGGGATGCTCGTACCTGGGCAGTGGGTAAGGTCATTCCTGGGCAGCGTTGTGCCCTGCCTCCTCCAAGGCAGCACGGGCATCTCAAGTGCATCCTGTGAAGGAAATGAGATCGGAGAAGATTTTTCCGGACCCTACCCGCTAATTGTGCCTGAAGGAGGAAACAGCCCACTTGCTAATGATTACAGAGAATTTAACATGTAGGTGCATGGAGAAACAGGGAAAAAGCTGCAAACCAGTCCCAGAACCTGCCCAAACCAAAAATGCAGTACGGGTCTCAGACAGAATCAGCTCCTGCTAATACCACCAAGAGCACCTATGCTGCAAACCTCCTCAGTTCCCTCAGAGGGTTCATTTC